TTTACATTTTACTGTTTGGTGTTACTGGGACCCTGTGTACACAATTTTGTTCCACCACGTGTACCACATGTGGTGGAATGATAAATAAAAAAGCTCTGACTCTAAATCTAACCTCTGACTTAGACTCTGATGGACTTGCGACCTGTCCAGGGTGTCCCCCGCCTCTCACACAGTGATAGCTGGACACGGGCACCAGTGATTCCTGTGACCCGAAAAACAAGAAGCGGGTAACGATAATGGATAGATGGATAAACAGTAAATGTTGAGAAAATTTTGGTCAAAGGTTATGTTTTTATTATATGGCTGAGAATGTGAACTCTGCCCATGAACCACATGTTTGGGTTAGCAGAGAGAGCGGGGTGAGGAACTGGGTGAGGCTGCAGCATGCAGCTGGCTCCAAGGACAAGAAGTTCTGTGAACTCGGCTGAACTGATAAGGGTAAAAAAGCGAGCTGAGAAGGCGGCTCAGGGCAGATTCTTCTGACTGGCCTTATATATTTATGGAACTGTTGGAATAAAAATATCCTCTATTTATCTGACTTACTCAAAGGTGCCACACTCGACATCAGAAGACTTTTACTTGCAAGGACAGATTTTCAGTCCAGGTTGCACAGATATACAGGAAGTACATGCACACCAGTCATGAGACTCTGCCATGGGCGGTGTGCAGCTTGTTTTTATACACTTATCAGTTCAGTCAAGCTCACACACTCGGAGGCGACCTTGAAGCAACAGCTGCGTGTCTGCAGCCTCAAATCAGCTACTCATCCAGCTCTCTCTGCTAACTCAAACATATGGTTCATGGACAGTTAATGTTCTCAGCCATAGTAGTTAAAAACATTCAGAAACCTTAGCCAAAAATCCTCTAATGATAACCTGTCCTAAAAATCTGACCTTGCAAGACTTGTTAAAAATCTTCTCCTGCCATCGAGTGTTTCTTTTAGAGTAACTAGATGAGCGAGAATATTTTTCTACAACAGTAATAAAAGTGTCACATTTGTTTTTCATACTAAACAGTTGTTTTTTTTATCTGAAAAAGACAAGGTGCGCTGATTTACAACAGAAAAACATCGTTAAGTAGGATTTTTTTTATTGTTATTATCATTGAAACAGTATGGTTTCTACAAATGCAAGAATTGATCACCAATAACAAAAGGGATGCACATACGTGAGACCTTTGTTGGGATATTCTTGGAAATAGACATATAAGGGAATGTTATAAATACTTTATCATACAATTTTGAGGTATGCAGAGTAGCTTTGAGAATACAAATATGCCCATGCCTCCCCCAGTGGTTAACACACTCACACATAAATACAGGCACACAGTTTCATCGGGGGAGCAATTAACATGGATCACAACAGTAAACGACCTCTAAAGGTATGAGGAAATGAGCGAGACGTCAAAAACACAATTGAACTTTATGCCTTTTACATTTTCACCCTTATTCTGCTTCAGCTCTTTTAATAAAAAGCCAAAGCGAAGCCAAAACAGATCAGCAACACCTGCTGCTTTTAAGAAGAATCACTTAAATCACCTTCTGCAACTACACAGTTACTTCTGTGCCCTCAAGAATCTGTCAAAACTGAGCACAAAGGAAGAAGCTGCTTTAAAATCTAAATCTGTCAAACTACAGACGCACAAGCTCATGAAACATGCAATAAAAAGAACCCTCTCAGCTGTTTTACTTCCCCTCTCCTACCAGAAATATAAGCCTGGAACAACTTTTATGAACATTTAGAAGTCCTTGCTTTGATGAATGCAGCTAAATGAATGAAGCTGTGAATGAAAGAAAGAAAAAATAAAAACAAGGACAGGTCTGTAAAAGTTTCTTACAGGCTGATATGAGCGAGTGACGGGTCTAAATCTCTTATTTGTGTGTCAAAAGCACGATTTAGTTTTGGTCAAAGTGAGGTAAAGCATTCCTACGACAAAGCTAAACACACGGGCACAGAAATCAGAACAGACGCATGGACATTTAGACAAATACTCGCCGTGACATCATAAGTCAGCAGTATGACATCACTAACACTGGCTTCTGACATCTTCATGCGGTTCGTCGTTTATGATTGCATCAGCTTTTTTTTGTTCTCATGAGTAAAAAGGTTTTGTTATTCTTTTTTTTCTTCTTTTTTTTACATATAAGTCCACAATATATTTTTGTTAAATAATTGAAAATATTCAATAAAATTCACAAAGATTTAAAAAAATAAATACACGTTTGAGTAAATGCAAACAAAGAGAAGATGAAGGGAGCGATCACTGTTTCGTTGAGGGTTTTCTTCATATATAAATTGTCAACACGTTAATTAAAACACAACAAATGACTGGCAGAATACTTTATGATAATCACTCAGAACAAGGTCTCAATAAAGCCCAACCCAGCAAGTCCACCTTACTGCCAAAAAAAAAAAAAAAACAGACGGGACATCATTATGGTCAGCAATTATCCCACAACAATATTCAACATAATGGTGTTCTTACATGTTACATAAAAAATAAATTACTCTTTGCATGTTTATATTTTCTCAAGAAATCAGTGAAAATATGCACGCGCATGCCTCCGGACAGACAGAAGAAATGAAAATAAGAAGCCGACATTGTTTATAGCACATACACAGAAAGATAAATCTGTTTAGCCCTTGGTGTGAAGTGTTCATTGTTACCCCCCGCCCCTGAACCCGTCTGCTCCCCCTCTTTGAATACAAAAGGCGAGCAGCTGAACTTGCAGGTAGAGTGCGGCGTCGTCGACATATAGAAGAGGGGTTTGCTGCAATGTTGGTACGCTGCAAAAAGAAGCCCTCGGCTGTACAAAATCCCAATGAAAAGTGGAAAACGTTGCAGTGGGATGTTTGTTCACATATCGGATTCTCTAAATGAGAAGTAAAATTCTAAATTTTCTCACTACTTATGTTTTATAGATGACATACACTCACTAGAATCCACTGTACAAGGCTAAAAGTTTGCAAAATGTGTATATATTTATACTATATACTGAATGTTGCTTTCAAGACTCAGTCACATGGGGACAAAATAGGACTACATTCACATTAAAAACTGCTGGGGTTGTTTGTTGGGTCATAGGTTGAAATGGTTTGACCACATATTGAGTCAAAAGGTTTGAACCAGTGGTTGGGTTGGAGATGAGCTGTCATTCAAACAGTCCACCATTTTAGGCCACAAGATGACCAAATCAAACCTAACTGAACCCAAGTTATGATAATCTAACAATCTAGTTTTTATGTTCATCTTTTTTCTTATTACGCTGTGTCAAGCTAATAACCCAACACAGCTGAGCATTAAAACTACACAGGTTTGGCTCAGTCCAAATTTGACCCAGTGACGGCTCTCAAATCACCATATTTTTCGGCCTGTATGTCGCACCTTTTTGCATAATTTGCATGCCCTGTGACTTATACACCGAATGATTTATATTTTTCCCATATTTATTTATAAACAAATTTTTGGCTGAGATATGACCGTTTCATTCATTCTGACATTGAAAATATTTAACACTACTATTTTCAGCCACTAGATGGCACTCGAGTAGTATGGCATGCCATTGTGTCATGTAATAGGTAAAACTGGCTATTAATGACACAATTGGCTTGCCATAACTTGCCCCCTTCGTCCAGCTCTGGGATCATGCCTGGAGCAACCATCAAATCAGCTTCATTTCGCTGCACCGCCCCGGTGAAATGCAGCTAATTTGACCATTGACGTGCATTTATTAAGGAAAAGATCAACTGAGATACGCCTTTACTATAATTTCGAGCAAACAAATAATTGTTTTTAGGTGGTTATCTTGTTAAATTTCGAAGAAATGCACAGCGAGTTGTGTCTCTACTCGCTCCCTCTTCCACGAATTGGCTTTTGAAATGCAGCTGATTTGACCGTCAAAGTGCATTTATGAAGGAAAAGTTCAACTGAGACACACCTTTGCTATAATTATGAGCAAACAAATAATTGTTTGTAAGTTAATCTTGTTAAATTCTTGTTAAAGTCCTCCCATGCATACTCCCGCGGCCTCCATTTGGCAGCCAATTGATTTTTGGCACAACACAGGCCCATATTTCCGGGTTGTTAGCGGTGATGCGTGACAAACGCGACGCGTCACCAGTGACGCATAATAGATGCGACTTATTTATGTTTTTTTTTTTTCACTTTATTAGACATTTTTGGACTCATGCAACTTATACGGCGGTACGACGTGTACGGCGGAAAATACGGTAGGTTGTTTTTAACCCAGCAGTTTTTAGTGCGTTGATAAATCCTAAAGGAGATGAAACTGATGACAGTTTGTTCTAAATTTCTTGATTTTACGCTAAAAGCTGTTGCGACTGAGCCGTTATGGCAGCTGGATGAGTTAAAAGTTCTCTATTATTCCTAAGTATTTAATTTCTTATTTTATTCTCAGGTTAATGAAGCCATAAAGCCACCAATTGGATGTTAGCTTGAGTGTTTCAGCCGTTTTTCTTTGATGGGCTAATCACAACTACAGAAAGCAATGACCAGTTACGAACTGCCCGGGCTAAGGATAAATAGGTTTTCAACTAGGTAGACACAAAATCCCACAGGGCTCAGAGATGCTAATATCATCAGTTCCATACAAAAAGTTCCTTGTTTGGTTTTTAAATACTTTTATAAATACACGAACAAGCAAACCCGTCTATCTCTGCCTCGGCGCTCTTCATCATCCACAGTGGATTCAAAGATGAATCTCTGTCGGAGCACTCGAGGACTCAGAGGACAGCGTAATAAAACTCAGGGACGATTCAACAACTCAGCAAAGATCCTTCAATAAAAGTCACAGCCAATACCCAGCAGCCTTTCAACTGCTTGTTTTTATTTTTTGCTCTTTCATGAGGGATTTTTTTTCTTCCCTTCACAAAGAATGGCTGAATATTCTCTTTTTTAATACGTAAAGTTACAAGAAGAGAATCAATTGGCTTTACTCACTATGAAATAAATGTCATTCACAATGAGGTGTATCCATTTCTTTTTTTTTTTTAAAGAAGGGACAGCCAGATAAAACTCTTCCTCGTTTCTTTGCATTTTCCTCGTCATCTCCACTTTATTCACCAACTAATCCTGTCATCTTATTTACCCTTACCGGTCTCTTCATCATCCTCTCACACCGTCACCTCATTCTTACTCCCAGTCCGCAGTCCCTGCCCTCCTCCTCCTCCAGGGATGAAATGCAGCTGTTCGATGGTGTTCTGCCGTTTGCTGGCAAAAGCCATTCGCCGGGCGTTGGGGTGGCCTCCGATGGTGCCCACTCCCCCTCCGCCGTGGCCCCCGTGGGGGTCCCAGCCGCTGTGCATCCCCATCCCGGGCATGACAGCGGAGCTGCGCTCGTGGTCGTGGCCCGACGTTGGGTGGGAGTTCATCTTGATCATGTGGTGACGGTCCATGGATGGCGTGGCGCAGATGTTCTGCTGTGACTGGGCCTTCTGGTGGTGACTGAGCTGGCCCATGGTGGGAAACATCCCACTTCCTGCACCTCTTTCGGCTACTCCCACAGGCAGACCCATCGTCATCAGCCGGTCCTCCAGACGATCAGGAGAGACCAGGAGCCGCTCGTGGGACCTGGAACCACAAATGTCATCATCTCACGTTATAATTCTTTATATACTGTAATAAAGCAGTGAGCTGAAGATAACGTTCAGCTCTGATTTACAACTTTATTGACAAAGTTTGGCTAAATGCAGTTTTAGTAAAACAATATTAGATGTTTCCTGAAGGAAACTGAAGGCTAATTTGAATTCTCAGAAATCCCACAACACTAATTTAAAAATCAATTGTTTTGACGCATTGATTTTAAGGCAGAACTAGATCTTTCTAAATAAAGAAAAGTGTATATCAGAATCAGAATAAGCTTTATTATCATTGCACAGTGACGTTCAGTGAGATTATATTCCGTACAGAAGTGTTGTAGTACTTGAGACCGGTCTTGGTCTTGAGATCGGTCTCAAGACCAATTTTGATGGTCTCGGTCTTGTCTCGGTCTTGGACAATGAGGACTCAGGATTTTATTTCAAGACCAGTCAAGACCACAACTTTGTAAATATCAATGAAATGCCAGAATCTTGTCCAGTTTATTTGTTAACATCTTTGTTTTTATTGGATGCAAAATGTACTGGTTCAAATTCAAGCGATAATGTGACTTATTGCTAAATAAATTTTTTGTTACAGCTGTCACGCTCACCCACTTTCACTCACACGTGTCACTCCCAGTGTGGCCAGACTGGGCGGTTTACTGCCAATTGGGCGGTTTTCATTCTGGGAACTCTGGGAAGATTTTTGTTGGATTGTTGCGTTTTGCCATATATTGTTAAATTATCTTGGCTCGTACTGATGTGTGTTCATGTTCAAGTAGTAAATATTCTGTAACAATATATTGATTGGGCACATTTTTGTCTGATAGGACGGTTTTTAACAGATTTTTTGGGCTGGAAAACCTCAACTCTATCTGGGAATACTGGTCACTCCAAGAAAATGAGAAGTGATTGTCTGGGCGCAGGAGAAGGTGTCTGCCATATCATCAGTTAGGCCACTGAATGTCTGATTTCTTTGCTATGTAGCTTTGAAAATTTATAAAAGCTGTAGGGTTTTTGTCCCGTCTCTGTCTGTTTCCTCACGTTTCCTGTTCAGCTCTGTTTTTCCTCCTTGTGTTCAGCCTCTGTCTCACCTGTGTCTCATGTTAATCACTGCAGGTGTCTGTCGTTGTCCCAATCAGTGTCTGTGTATATATTCAGTTCCTCTGCTTCTTGTCTTTGTCTCCAGATTGTCCTTCAATGGTGTCTTGGTTTGCTTCCCGTCATGTCTGCTCTGATCTGTTCTCAGTACCAGTAAGTGGCTTCCCTGTCAGCCTTTTGATTTTTATTTTATTTTTTTTTTTTTTGAGAATAAATATTTTGATCTTTTTACCTCGAGCCTCCTTGTCATCTTGGGTTCAACACTCCTGACGGCAGATCCTGACAAAAGCTGATATATTCATTCAAAAGCAAACTTAAAGTTGCAGTATGTAACTTTTATAAAAATATTTTATAATAAAATTTTATATTTTATTTATTTTATTTGAGGTCTTGGTCTCGGACCCTAAAAGTCTTGGTCTTGACTTGGTCTCGGGTTAGGTGGTCTTGAACACAACACTACAGTACAGTCGTCTGAAAGATGGGCCAAGTGTACGTGGCTGCAGGTGCTAGCGCAGACCCTTATTCTTTAGATAAGAAAAGGGGAAAGACCATGAGGATAGTGGGTATTAAAAACTGGTCTCTTCATACCTTGTCCTTGTCGGGACACAGTTTAAGACATCAAAAAAATCTACCAGCAAGCACATATGCATTTGACGACAAGACGGTGAGATTTTGCCATGAAACACTTCCAGATAGTACCATAGTCCTGATAAGATGTTAAAGTGTCAGCCAGTACAGCTCTGATAAGCATTCACCGAAGTTCTCAGAGGTGGATAGAGCAGAGCCTTCTTAGTTTACACATCCCCAGGAGCAATTTGATAAGTTGGCCTATTCAAGGCCGAATGTGGAGGCCAGATTCAGATAAGCCACTGTTGTTTTTGTGCAGGCAGACTGTTTTTCACATCAGCCTTGAGTTCTGCTGGTACCCTCAATGATCCAAAATGGCCAGATTTGTGGGCCTTCCACTGGTCCGTGCTTGCTAGCCTTCTCCAAGATCCATTCCAACATGCTGGCAAGTTCCAGAAGCCGCAAGTGGCCTACGATTCTCATAAATCGCTCGTAAATCAGCTGAGTGTGAAAGCTCGAAGCGCATATTAATCCTTCACATAAGGTAGGAAGCTTTGCCATGGCCTTTGCTAGACGTCTTCCTTAATAGCCGATAATATAGGTATCTGCCGGTCCCAAAAAGCAGAAACCCTGCTGTCATAAATCTAATGATGTATAAATCTTTGATGTCTTCCAGAGACAACACAGACAGGGACATCATCTTCCACTCCCTCCACAGACCCATGACATACCTGGCTGCATGCGTCTCTCCGGGACATGAGGGTTCTCCAGCACCCTGTCGCTTGGTTGATTTTTTAAAATTTATTATTAATATATATATATTTTTGTATATTTAAGTGAATATAAATTAATTTTTAGGTGTTGATATTTGTCTTAACGATGTCTTCAGATGCACAATTTGAAATACATCACCATGTAACTTATGGGTCTTTTTTTATTAACATTATTAACGTTTTAATATTTAATTTCACCCCAAAGTTCTGAGCTCAGATAAATTGTGTGCACATTGTCTCACAGTCTTGTTTGCAACAATTCTTAGACTTAGGTCAGCATTACATTTGAACTTTTTATTTAAAAAAAGTAAATAAAAAAAATAGAGTTTTGGGATTGATCTGAACAAAACTTGTAGGTCATATTTCTTTAACAACCTTGTCTTATTCTCTAAACTTTAATAAAGCTGTCTTACATTTGATATTTATAAATGTGTGTCTGTTTTTGATTTTGTACTTTCTTGATGGAATCTAATAATTTCTGAGTCCTCTGCAGTCACATGAGCCGTTTTCATTTATCATCCTATATGAGATTCTGCTTCGTCTCATCCCTGTACTCACCTGCGGAGTGTCTGCGATGTGGGGCCCCTGCTGGTGCTCATCATGACTTTGTAGTACTGGTGCTGCTGGTTCTTGGACAGGCGGGACAGGGTGTTGCCCTCCCCGAAAGCCAGCAGCTGGTCTTGGGAGCGGACTCGTCGCGGCGGCCTGTCGAAGGTGGAGTTGGTGTATGGCGTCTGGGAGGGCAGAGGGTAAGGGTTTGGGGTGGACGGGGGCATGTGGAGGTGCGGTCGGGACCCATGCAGAGGCAGAGTCCCCCTGGATCCCAGCGTGTAGTCGCCTCCCCAGGGGAGGTGGTGCTGCGAGGAATAGAACGAAGGTGGAGCGTTGTTGGAGCGGCGTTTGGAGGTGTAGTAGCCGGAGTACTCATCAAGTTCTTTCTCTGATTCATTAAAAATAAAAAGATGAAAAAAGGCAATATGTAAACAGGGCTATTGTACATGGACCAGCTGTTTTAACTGATGAACTTTAAAATAATACAAAAGTTGGAGGCCATCTTGGATTTTAAGGTGGCAACCCAATTGTAGATAGAGGCCTTTCTTATGCCTAGATGCAGCAACACACTAAAAATAAAGTCAGCATGTTGCTAACTTCTCAAGTGATCCAGCTCACAAGGTTAACGAATATGTAGGCAGCCATCTTGGATTTTGACATGGCAACCCAATTTTTGAAAGGGATCTTGTAGTCACAAACTTAAATGGAAGTCAGTACCTGACTTATTTTTCAGGTTATTATGCTCACAACATGCAGACGGACGGAGAGTATTTTCTATTCCTCCTTTTTGCTCGAGGGACCAAAAAAAGGAGCAAAATGCTTCATGTTCAATAACCACAGCTAAATATTTTAGGAATTCGTCGATGCATGAAAAATACTTGAGCTTTGCATTTAAAACTTGTTGAGAATGTGATAGATCCACCATGATGGATAAAAGATTTTTTAATACAGAAAGCTACGTTAAGAGACCAAGAAAAATAAGAAAACAAGAGGCATGAGTTGAAATAAGAAAATGTAAAAGAGGGCAAAGAAGGAAGAGAAATGCTAAGGAGAGAAACATAAGTTTAAAAAAAGAGATGAAAAGGCGAGAGCTACTAAAAGTACAAAATAAAAGGTGAAGTGCAAATGACCGAGCTGAGGGGAAATTAAAAAAAAAAAAAGTTAAGAATGAATCATGCAAACTCCAGAGCTGTATAATGCATGAGGCATACCCCATTAAAAAGAGAACGAACAATATAAAATGAAAAAGATCGGATGAGATAATACAGGGAGATGGAAAAACAAAAGAAAGAGAGAAGAACGTTATGACGAGGACAACGTTCAAAGTGATTCATTAATAGTAAAACAGCGTTTCTGCTCCATAGCCTGAAACCACTTTAATCATCAAAGCATTTCCATGGAAGCAGCTCCCTGAGAGCCAATTTGAACATGACCTTTACCGAGCCACCATGCAACCTCTTCCTCCCCTTGTGTCTCTCGTTTCTCCTCCTCTCTTTCCGTTTGTTCTTTCGCCTCCATTTTCCTCCATCCTCTCTTCATTTCCCTCTTTTCATCGGCTCGTAAGATTTTCTTCCTGCCTCCATTTCCCCTTGTTTTCTTCATCTTCTCTCATATCCTCACCCTGTCCTCCCTCACCCTCTCACTGTTTGCTCCCCTCCAGTAAGGCTAAATTAGCTCGAGGTCTCTGCCTGCCTGCCGGCTTCAGACAAAGAAACCATTATCATTGGCGTTTCTGCAGGGAATCACATCAAAAGCTGCAGGTTTCATACAATGGCTGCCGTGAGGCCATTTTTTCTTTCTCTCTCTGGGTCACACTGACAATATTTTACATTTATTTTGAAGGGGTGCGTCATCAAATCTGGCATGAAAACTAAAAAATAATAATGAACTTTTAAAGCAGTACTTTAAATTGGTGTGATAATGAGTTTGTTTGGATATAAAACTGTCATTTTGCAGATGTGTCAGCACAGACTTATTAATTTGCACAATGCACACGTCTGCACGTTGTCTTACTGAAAGATTCAAGAGGGAATAAAATGTATTGTGGAGGATTCCAGTCTCCATTTTAAAGGATGGTTTAACATCTAGAATAACGGGATCATCCAAAAACCATCCATCAACAAACAAGAAGCAGATGTTTTATTCAGTTACAAACGTCTATTAAACCAGTGGATCCCAACCCTAGTCCTTGAGGAACACCAGCATGGACATTTTAGTTGTTTCCCTGATCCAACACAGCAGATTCAGTGAATTAATTACTTCATCATGTTCTGCAGAAGACTGTTAAACACCCATTTATTAAAATCAGGTGTGTCCAATACAGGGGAACAATTAAAACATGCAGGGTGGTGTTCCTCGAGGACTAGGGTTGGGAAGCACTGCATTAAACCGTATTGCTATTTTTAATTACATGCATATTTTCCAAATTCCAATCAAAGTTTTTGGTTTCGCTCAAATATTGTATTATTAAAAAAAAAAAAAAAAACCACTCTAAATCCATGTGCACAAACACTCTGCTTCACCTCAAAACTGTGTCTGCGCTCAGATTCAATGCTGCTCGTGCAAACATCCAGCTCTGGAGTTTGACCTTCTCCTGTGCTCACAAAATTTCTGATCTCAAATTTATCACTCTCAGAAATCCTGAGCAGATGTGCGGCGTGTTTTAGTGATATTACTGCCCTGTCTGTGGGCGAAGCTGCTTTACTGCACGGGGTCTTTTCAGGACAATCACTGGCTTCAACAGGCTTCAGGCAACATGGATCACCTAAACCAATGGTTCTCAAACTGGGATCTGCGAGCTGGTGCTTGGGGGTCCACCAATTTAAAAAATAAAATAAAAAAACTTTAAAAAAACTCAAGGTACTACTGAATATGTCTGTCTTAGATTATCGTCAAAACATCTTCGCTTGTCCGATTTCACCACTTTTGTTTACCTATTCATACTCCAGCCAGTTCTATGTAGGCCATTCATGTGACTCAAGCTTCCATCTGGATTTTGGGGGATTCAACTACCGTATTTTACGCCATACATGTTGCACCACCCTATAAGTCACATCAGTCCAAATATGTCTAATAAAGTGGAAAAATCCATAAATACATTGCTTTGCAGTATACAAGACATCTATTATCAGCTGCATTTCAAAAGTATTCACTGTCTCGGTGCTCCGGCAGCGTGCTCTGAGGGAGGAAATCAGGAAGGAACGTTGTGCATTTCTTCGAAATTTGAAAAGATAAGCACCTAAAACAATTATTTGTTTGCACGACTTTATAGTAACGGTCTCTGTTGAACTTTTACTTAATAAATGCAGTTCAATGGTCAAATCAGCTGCATTTCGTCGGGGTGGTGCAGCGAATTGAAGCCGATTTGATGGTTGCTCCAGGCGAGCTGGAAGAAGGTGGAAGTTTACGGCAAGCCGATTGTGTCATTAATAGCCACTTTTACCTATTATATGACACACCGGCATGCCGTACTACTCGAGTGCCATCTAATAGCTGAAAATGGTAGTGTTCAATATTTTCAATCAGAATGAATGAAAACGGTTATATCTCAGCCAAAAATTGATTTATAAACATGGAAAAATAACAAATACATCGCTTCACCATATAAGTCGCAAGGCATGCAAATTATGCAAGAAACTGCGACTTATAGGCCGAAAAATATGGTAAGTGTTTTGTTTGTCCACATTTTAGAATTACTCTTCGATACATCTGGAAAAATGTTCTCAAACAGCACCATTTGACATACGCTCAGAATTCCATTATTTTATATTTAGCAACAATAAAATATAACAGTTAAAAAAAAAAGAAGAAGTATTCTACAGCTGTTTGGGGTAGATTCGTCTAACTGAGGTTAAAAAAAGTGAAAACCTTTCCCTTTTTACACAACTGCAGGACTGTTTCTCCTTTTCCGTTTAATTAAACTGTTGTCATGAACAGCCTCATCTGGTCCGTGTGTTTACATTATTGGACCCATGTAGAGTCATGCTTCCTGCACGGAGAATCAGAAGGAGCAGCTCCCATGTCGTAACCATCCATCATTCATCTGCAGAGCGACTCCCCTCCCCCTGCAGTCCCCGGCCATCACGGGGCAGATAGAAAGAGCCACCGCCTCTGAAATCTTCCTCCTCACCAGAAGCAGCCAGGCCTCTGCAGACCGACTGATAAACCCCTGTCGTTCTCACAATCGTTCACTCAATCTCCACTTCTCCATCCCTCCTTCATCTTCTCATTTACTTCTTCTGATCTACCAATTGTTTTATTTAATTTACACTCATTCATGTTTTTTTTATTTCTATCCTTGTCTCTTCCACATGTCTCCATCCTCATGCTGTTCTTTATCTCTCTAAATTCAGAATCTGTCACTTCCTTGCTTCTGAATTATTTCCTCCTGGCATCCATCTCATAAATCTTCCTCCAGTTCTTTAGCCTTAAGCCATTTTTACACAGAAACTCAGCTGAATCATATCCAAACTCCACACCACTTTAATCATTTCATTCATGTACAAAATAATAAGAGAATATTTATGGAAGATGTGCTTTCACTGCACTTTAAAGAGGGCACAGAATGGGATAATTATAATTTTAGCTGTCACGTTTACTTCCACTGAATGTCTTCATAGGAAATAACTTCGGTCTTATCCAGAAACAGCAAGTTTAATTCTGGGTGAGCACAGGGAAGATTTGTGCTGGGGTTTAGAAAATCCAATTGAAAAATTATTTTTAGGAATTATAAAAAAGATAAATTTCCCAGACAACAGAGAACGGGGATCCCCATGCCTGTTAGCAGAACATTTGACTGTAACAGCACATGACGAGGTTAGCTTACACATAAAACACATTCTGTGCAAAATAACACGTCAGTTTTGTTGTAGTTGACCTGCCTGCAAACCAGAAAAATTAATGCATTATCAGGCAAAATATTTATCTAAACTTTGGAGCATCTGGAAATCTAAAATATTTAAATTTTAAAGCTACAGCAGCTGATTGTTTCAAAACAAAATGCTAACAAACTTTTTTCTTCTTCTTTCGGCTGCTCCCTTCTTCGGGGGTCGCCACAGTGAACTAACTCGCACGAAGACTTGATATTTGTTTTAACACCGGATGCCCTTCCTGACACAACCACAGACCACCGAGCTACCACTGCCCTCTGTGTGGAGCACAGAGCTGCCATCTAGAGCGCCCAGATGCTGGATGAGGGCCTTGCTCAAGGAATGTTATCAGCCATTAAATGGCCGTTATTAGTTGTTATCATCCCCATATGTAGCGTTCAGACTGCCCCTCCTGTACCTCCTAGTAGCTTTAAAGGTACATTGTTAGCGTTGTTAGCATTGTTAGTGCTCATAATAGGCTCACATGGTTAGCTTCAGAATAAAGGGCCTGGTGGTTAGGTTTAGGGTCTTGGTTAGGTTTAGGCACAAAGGTAACGTTTAGGGTTGGTCCTCTGGGTCAGGTGTAAAGTTATGTTTAGGAAAACGGTTACATAAGCTGAAAAAAAAAAAAAACACTTCCTGGTTTACCCCCATGCAGCGCTGCCTATTATCAACGATAATAATGTACCTTTAAACCCACTAGGCAGGACAGTCTCACCGCTACATTTGAGGATGATAACAACTAATAACGGCCATTTAATAAGCTGCTCGCTCAAGAGCCCAGAGTGGAGCAAATGAGCGTGGAGGCAGGTGTGGTGTCACTTTTCCCACCAACATTTTGATGTTGTTGGTACGGGGAGTTGAACCAGCAACCTTCCAATCACAGGCCCACCTTCTCTAACCTCTGCACCACCACGCCCCTAAAATGCTAACAAAATGTTAGAAAAAGAAATAATGCAACAGAGCGGTAAACTTATTTTGATGGAAAAGTATTTGGTAAAAATGTTTAAATTCTGCTTTATAGTTTTTTAAATGTTGGGTTTATGAAAATGCAGCAGTCCCTTGCGACTTCATGGATCAACTTCCACGGAATTGCTCTTTGGTGTTTTTTCGATTGTCAACTTTAATATTACTCACGAGCACAAAGTTTGTTTTCTCAGTCATCCAGGTATATAACAACAAAAAAGGTTGAATCATGTCATCTGGACTTCGTTTTTTTTGTTAAAAAGGAACGTTTCGCCCCTCATCCAAGAGGCTTCGTCAGTCTGAGGCCTAGCCATCTGGTATTACCCAGAAGCCACCCTGACTCTTGTGTTTCAAGCCTGCCTCAGATACCCCTGAAGTCTGGCCTTTTCACTAATGGTTTCAAAAACACAAAGTTTGTTTTCTCAGTCATCCAGGTATATAACAACAAAAAAGGTTGAATCATGTCATCTGGACTTC